CATATGCTTTTATTCCCTCTGCTTAATTTTTTTAAAAAAATCTCCCTTTCTTACAATATGAACTGATTACCTTGACATTTATATAACTTCACAGTTGTACATTTCATCACTGTCCAGACTTATCAAATGTTTGGTAATACCAATTATTCTTAATTCAATTCCTTAAATATGTTCCATACCACTGTATGTGGAGTCCTCCCTGCCTAGAATGACCTTCCCCCTATTTTCTGCCTGGTGTATTCAGCCTTTAAGACCCAGCTCAAGTGTGAGTCCCTATCTGAATTCCAAAGGTAGAGTTAATCCCTTATATCAGTGGGTCCACTATGCACTATGCATATACTTCTATATTTATTTATCATACTGCTGCATGCCAATAATTCATTGGACTATGAGCCCTTTGAAAGCTAGAACAAATGTACTATCTCCTAGAGTGCATTTTGGAAATTCATTGAGGGAGTGTGCTTGGTTTTATTCTCAGAAAAATGGGTATCAAGGTTGCTACATAACTCACAATGGGCAGGACAAAGGATTCTCCCAAATTCAAAATGATTTTCAAGACTTCCACTGGGCACTGATGGAGGTAATAAAATAACTGATAATCATCTGAATCTAGAATTAAATTCTGATGTATATGTACATATGTGTATATATACACACATATGAACATAATGAACACAATGAATTTCCCATGAATTAAACTACTATATAAATTAAGGAAAGATTGGCTTTTGTTTGGAAATTTTCCACTTGTTATTTTTGGCAAAGACACTTGCTGGTTTTGAATGCCAAGATAATATACCTGATAGTATACCTGCCAAGATAATATACACTTGAATTTGAAGCTCTTGACATTCATGGTGACTTTCTATACAGATATAAGCACTTGACTGTTTTTGTCTTTTCATATAGTTTTGAATCAGAACTTGCATATGAAAATAAACATTTCCTATTATAAATTATTCTCTTTTTATGGCTCTTTTATGTCTAATCACACTTGTTTTCAGTTAATTTGAGTTAATACATAAAATATTTAGAGAAGCACCTGGCACATAGGAAATGCTGTTGTGCTGATATTATTACTACAGAAGAGTCGTTGGATATTAATGCATAAATATTTAAACTACTCATGGAATATGTATTTAAGAAATCCTATCAATTTGCTTCTAGATTTTTGTATTACAGCAATCTGAACCATTTGATTATGACTAAATGTTTCCAAGATGTTATAGAAAGTACTTTAATATTTCTCTTTGTCTAACAAGTGAGTATAATAATCATTTTGACCAATTTTCCCTGAACCATTTATACTTGCGGTCCTCCTGAGCAATGGTAACACAAACTAGCACCTTTGAGTTAAGTCTTTGCCTATAACACAGTTTTTTATGTGGGTGACTAACAGGTCCAGAGGGATAATTGTAATCATTAATCTCCTAACAAATAATTGCTATATTTATTAATTTTATCTATGCCTCTTACAGGACAGAGATAGTTAAAATGTGAATGAAGTTTTGAATATGTGATTTATTGAATATATCTTTTTATCTGCTACGTAGTTTTAGAAAAGTCATCCTATCTTTCAGATTGATAATATGGATGATGTAGTTACCATGTTCTGAGCAATATGCAAGACACTTTATATATATTATCTCCAATACTTATAAATGGCTAAACACTAGGGTTTTTAATCCCTATTTTATAGAAGAGGAAATTGTGTTTGAAGGGGTTGTTTAACTTGTCCAAGGGCATACATCTAAAACTGGTAATGCTAGGATTCAAATTCCAAATCCTAAGTTCATTCTTTCATATTATTCTGCTGCCCTAGTTAAAAAGACTTCACACTAAATCAGCTACAGAAAAAGCAAGATTCCTTCTCTGAACTTGCACTTGTCTCCTTTCATAAGTCAATTTGAACCACTAGAGTATGGCTGAAATTCACAAGATATTATAAAAATCAAAATTTTATTCTGGCTAGGCCACAGAGGGTAAAATAGAATCACAGTGACCAAAACTTTTCCTTGGATTCTAAACACAAGTTGGGAAAAGGAAGTTTTCACAAGATTATCTATATGCTTCCTAAAAGGCTGCTTTATCTGTCCAGGTCACTCTGGGCTGTCTCAGAAACAATAATATAAAATAATCCTGACTGTTTTTTCCCCATAAGTCACAGAATCAAAGGGAGAAATTAGGAAGTGAGCTGTGGGACACGTTCTGTCCTCCACACCTAGGAGGACCTACTCAAAGACCCCTGTGATAGAGCCTCCCAACTTGGGTGTTCAGCACAGTGTGCCCCAAGATAGCCCACCACTGTGCAGAAATGCCAGCCCCCTCATCTCTCAGGATAGTAGATGGATCCTAAAATGGCCATGGCCAGTCCCCTCCAACCATAAGCAGCCTCAGTCACTGTTATGGTTTAGATATGAGGTTTCCCCCAAAAGCTCATGTGTGAGGCAATGCAAGAAAGTTTAGAGGTGCAATTATTGGGTTATGAAAACCTTAACCTAATCAGTGCACTAATCCACTGATATGGATTAACTAAGCTATAAATGTAAGCAGGTTGGGTATGGCTAGAAGAGGTAAGTCACTGGGGGCAGTGCCTTTGGGGTTTATATTTCTGTCCCTGGTGAGCAAAGCTGTCTCTGCCTCCTGGTACCATGCCCTGAGCTGCTTTCCTTCTCCACACTCTTCTACCTTAATATTCTGCCTCACCCTGGGCCCAGAACTATAGAGTCAGCCATCTATATATGAACTGAGCTCTCTGAAACCATTTCCTCTTCTACATTGTTCTTGTCAGGCCTTTTGGTCATAATTACAAACAAACTGGCTAACACAGTCACTTATTTCAGTATACCATAGATGTATGACAATTTCCTATGCAAATAAGTTTTCTACGAAAAAGGGAAACACTGTCTTAGAGAATTAACAGCACAAAGTGATCATGTTTCTCAATGTACAAAGTGTTGCATAATCACAATAACAATACATTCTATAAATAACAAGCAACATTTTAAAAGTATATCAATTTTGTACAATTTAGGTGACTTAATGCCTTTCTTTTTTCTGCAAAATTATGCAACATTATCGTCTGTATATTAATCCTTGATATAAGCATTCTTTAAAATATAATATAGATAATTTAGTCTCTTAGAAATTATATTTCTGTTCTTTAAATCTGTTATGAAAACTGATACAATCTCTCATTAGCATCACAAATAATGAACTACATATACCCACTTAAGTGCTTGCCAATGATGATGAAAATAAGTATACATACATAAATATATCAGTATTTATTGATAAATATAAAATGAGCAATGAGAGTGATCTGATTTTGGAATTTATACATAACAATTATTTCTTTCAAAACACTCATGTTAGGGAATATATACTTTTTTCTAGTGATTCTGGAATTATAATAAAATGTTTGCATTATAAATTTAAGAGATTATCTGGGCTAATCTTCCTATTTTACACATATGAAAGCAGAGAAGTGATCTAGTCATAGTCATACAGCTAGTAATGAGGAGAGAAATTCAATTCTCATTCCTAGTCAAGTTTTTTCTAATGAAAATGTGTTATGAAATCTTTTCAAGAGTTCCTTAAGAAACTTCAAGTATTTCAACATGTATCTTACAAAAAGCCTATGAATTTTAATTTTTATTCATAGAGGTCAAATGACATACACACACATCACTTCTTGAATTTATTAACCAAATCTTCCCAACCCAAATGGGTCTGTAGTCTAAAAAGTTCACAAGTATGGCCAGAACAATAACTTCTTTTGTCCTCACTGTGGCCTACACACCCAGACTAGTCACCTCCTAGTGAGAAGCTTCATCTATTTACACCTATACCTTGCTAATGTTACCATTTGTTGTATGTACCAAGACATGGAAAAGGCTGGGAAGCACTGGCTTAAACTAATTCTTACCACTGTTCTTTATCCTGACTCCAACCTTTGTATATGTGAATCAATATGTTAAATCACACATTTTGTTTTATCATTGTAAGAATACCTGGGAATTGTTATGTTACTTGAGCTCCAATATATTCTAAGGTTTATTTAGAAAGTTATTTTTGGTAAATTAAATGTCAAGTGGAGAAGGGAGTTCCCTCTGGGCTAACTTCCAAGAGCAATGATATAGATAAAGATACAGTTATTTTCACCATAGCAAGTGTGATCTCTTCATTATTAAAACCACATTCAATGTTCTATCTATATAGTTATAAATCACTCAGCATGGTTGGCAAAAATCCAAGCTGGTCCCTATAATTTCCACTTTTATGTAATCCCCATCACTTGAATATTGGAAAGACTTGTAATTTGCTTCTAATCAATAGAGCATGGCAAAGGTAAAGTTCACTACACAATTATACTATTATGTAGCAAAAGTGAGATTTTTTCAGATGTTGACTTTAAGTTAACAAAAAAGGGACAGCACACTGGTGGGCATGACCTAATCAGGTGAACCTTAAAAGAGGATCTAGCTATTAGAGAAGCAATAGTCTTTTCTCCAGTGCTGGCTGTGAAGAAACAAGATCCTACTTCTACAACCATACAGAGATAAATTGTGCCAGTAACCTGAGGGAGCTTAGAGACAGATCTTTCCCTTGTTTCACCTCCAGATAAAGAAAATCCCATCCACACCTCCATTTCAGAGTTATTGGACCCTGAACTGAGAACCCAATTAAGCCATGTCTAGACTTCTGACTCACATAAACTGAGATAACACATACGTGTGGTTTTAAACTGCTAAGTCTGGGGATGGAGTTGTGGCTCAGTGGTAAAATACTTGCCTAGCACATGTAAGGCACTGGGTTTGATCCTCAGCACGACATAAAATAAATAAATGAAATAAATAAAGGTATTGTGTCCATCTACAACTAAATTAAAAAAAAAAACTGCTAAGTCTGTAGCAATTTGTTACACAGAAATAGATAATAAAGGTAAAGCTCATGAGAGCATGAAGCAAGTGCCCTGGGACATACAGCCCAAGCCCTACCTGCACTTCCATGCTAGTGGGCTCTTCCAGCAGATGTAGAAGTTGCTGTTTCTCCTGAGAGAGTTGTTCTACAAGCCTCTCTTGGGCAGCCAGGCTCTGACTCAGTTCTTCGATTCTCCTGCAGCAAAGAGAAGAAAGATCCAATCTCTTGCTTACCACCATTGGACCACTTTGTTGATTTACTATTCATACTTGGCCTCGTGACTGGTAAGAAGTGAGTTTTTTTAATGGATGCTGTTGAAAACTCAACCCTGAAAAGAAAATCTTGGGTTGTGGGACCAGAAAGTCTTGGAAATGGTGAAGGTTCTGCCACTCCACCATCAGTCCTAACAGGGAACAGTGTGGCTATTGAACATTCTGATGGCCCGGAGAATAGGCAAAGTCAAGCAAAGAGCACCAAAGGCACATACTTGTCCCTCTGGTCCAGGGCCTCAGTGTACTGGTCGGGCTTGACCTGGTCTCCCTGTACATCTTCCCTGTCCTTAGTGACTCCCTTCAGTTTTTCTGAGAGCTCCAGGTTACACTCTTTCTCTGCTTCCATCAGAGCTGCCATGCGTGCAGCTTCATTCTTTGCTAGCCTGGATTCCTGAAAAAAGAATGAAAACAGGTTAAGACTTTAGGGGCTGGCCGATTGTCAGACCCACACCAGAACCCAGGCCTGGGCCCAGGACTGCCTGCTGACCAGCAGACCCACACCAGTGCCCAGGCTTACCCCACCTCCATCGGGGACACTGCATCCATCGCCATAGCCCTCCCCACATAGTAACCTCTACCTGGGGACAACTGTTTCATCTCCAAACAGGCAGCCCATCCTTTCAGCCCATCCATCTCGGGACACCCTCACTGTTATCTTGAGTTATCTCTGCCATTGCCACCACCACCTTTAGTTGCAATAGCATTTATCATGGGACATGGGCAAGGGTCTAGAAGCCCAACACCAAGGTGAGGTATAGGTAATCTTCAGGGACACTACAAGATTATAGGATAGAAACTATAAAACCTCAGATCCACACTGCAAGAAAGGAAGACACATAGACAAAATGAAAAAAACAAGGGAGGAAAGTGCCCCAAACAAACCAAGATACTACAATAATATAATCCATTGACAGCACAGTTGATGAAATGTCAGAGAAGGAGTTCAGAATGTACATAATTAAAATGATCTATGAATTAAAGAATGACCTAAGTGAGCAAATACAGGCAAAAATTGATAATTCCAACAAAGAGATAAGGGAGCAAATATAGGTAGCAAAATATTACTTCAAGAAAGAGATAAAGATTCTAAAAAATAAACAAACAAACAAAAAACCAATCAGCTGGGCGTGGTGGCGCATGCCTGTAATCCCAGTGGCTCAGGAGGCTGAAGCAGGAGGATTGAGAGTTCAAAGCCAGCCTCAGCAAAAGTGAGGCACTAAGAAACTCAGTGAGAACCTGTCTCTAAATGATATACAAAACAGGGAATGTGGCTTAGTGGTCAAGTGCCCCTGAGTTCAATCCCCAATCCCCACCCCAAAAAATAATCAGAAATCCTTGAAATGAAAGAAACTATGATAGTAGGAGCAAATGTGACTCCATTTTGTTTTATGACTTCATCTTGTAAAACAACCATGCCAAGTAGAAGAGTCATGACTGGAGCAAGAAGTTCTTTTCCTTTTGCTATAGAAACCTTTACGAACACGGAACTACCTAATGGGGCATTGTTTCTGTAACTAGGGTAACAGGGCTCTGTTTCTGTAAGTGGGGTGACTGGGCTAACTGATTGGTTAGGCTTCCCTCCGCTTGACTGCACTGTCCCGCTTCTGTAACCTGCCTTGCTTGCATTGGCTAGACACCCCAGAACATCCCTTTTGCGGTTTTCAGGCTTATAAGGAGTGCCCTTGCAATTGTTCGGGGCTGATTAGGGGAACAGCTTTATGTTCTGGTCAGCCACCACCGGTGTGCTTCCATAAAGGCTTGATTCTATTATACATGAGTGGTCTGAGAGTCAGTTCTTGAAACCCTGGGACGAAGCTTTAACTATAACAAAACAATAAACCAAATAAAAAATCTAATAGAAAGTATCACCAACAGACTAGATCATTTGGAAGACAGAATGTCAGATAATGAAGACAAAATATATAATCTTGAAAATAAAATACATTCTGGCCACACAGTGAAAGAAGAAACCATGAACAGAAGATCCAAGAAATATGGGATAACATCAAAAGGCCAAATCTAAGATTTATTGGGGTAGAGGAAGGCACAGAGATTCAAACCAAAAGAATGCACAATCTCTTTAATTAAATAATATCAGAAAACTTCCCAAACTTGAAGAATGAATTGGAAAACCAAATGCAAAAGGCTTACAGGACACCAAATGTATAAAATTACAACCGATCTACACCAAGGCACATTATAATGAAAATGCCTAGCATACAGAATAAGGATAGAATCTTAAAGACCACAAGAGAGGGGAATCAGATCACATATAGGGGGAGAACAATTTGGATCTCAGCAGATTTTTCAATCCAGACCCTCAAAGTCAAGGGATCCTGGAACAACATATACCAAGCTCTAAAAGAAAATGGATGCCAACCAAGAATCTTATATCCAGCAAAATTAAGCTTCAGATATGATGACAAAATTAATGCCTTTCATGATAGACACAAATTAAAAGAATTTATAGCGAGAAAGCCTGCACTACAGAGCACTCTTAGCAAAATATTCTAAGAGGAGGAAATGAAGAACAACAAGGAAAATCAGCAAAGAGAGGAACTATACTAAAGGAAAGGCCAATCAAAGGAGAAACAAAGTCAAGTTAAAAAACCAAAAATAAACCAAAATGACCAGGAATACAAATCATGTCTCAATAATAACCCTGAATGTAAATGGCCCAAACTCATCAATTGAAAGCCACAATTGATGTTATCCCATAATTCTATGATTTTTTAAAAAAAAGACCTTCAAGAGACTCATCTCACAGGAAAAGTCATCCATAGACTTAATGTGAAAGGGTGGAAAAAAAATACCACTCTCATGAACTATGTAGACAAGCAGGGGTTTCTTTTTTTTTTTTTTTATTGGTTGTTCAAAACATTACAAAGCTCTTGACATATCATATTTCATACATTAGATTCAAGTGGGTTATGAACTCCCATTTTTACCCCAAATACAGATTGCAGAATCACATCGGTACAAGCAGGGGTTTCCATCCTCATATCAAAGCTGGTGAAAAGGGATAAAGAAGGACATTTCATACTGCTTAAGGGATTCATACATCAACAAGACATAACAATCATAAATATCTATGCCCCAAAAAATGGGGCAGCTACATATATCAAACAAATCCTTCTCAACTACAATAATCAAATAGACCACAATACAATAATACTGGGTGACTTAATAAACCTCTCTAACCACTGGATAGATCTTCCAAACAAAACTAAACAAAGAAACTATTGAACTCAATAATACAATCAATAAGTTAACAGACATATATATATATATGACTATTCCATCCATCATAGAGGGAATACACTTTCTTCTCAGCAGCACATGGATCCTTCTCCAAAATAGACCATATGTTATGCCACAAAGCAAGTCTTAGCAAATACAAAAACACAGAGATACTACCCTGCATTCTATCTGACCATGATGGAATGAAATTAGAAATCAATGAAATTATTGATTGAACAGAAATCAAATATGAATAGAAATCAAAATTAAAAACAGAAGCTATCCAACACCCAGAGACTAAACAATATACTATTGAATGACATATGGATAACAGAAGACATCAGAAAGGAGATAAAAAAATCTTAGAGGTGAATGAGAACTGTGATACAACTTGTCAAAATCTATAGGACACTATGAAGGCAGTGCTAAAAGGAAAGTTCATTGCATGGAGTTTATTCATTAAAAGAAGAGAAAGTCAACAAATAAACGAACTGACATTACAGCTCAAAGTCCTAGAAAAAAGAGGAACAAACCAACATCCAAAGTAGTAGAAGACAGGAAATAACTAAAATCAAGGCAGAAATCAATGAAATTGAAACAAAGGAAACAATCCAAAACATTGACAAAACAAAAAGCTGGTTCTTTGAAAAAATAAATAAAATTGACAAACCCTTAGCCACCCAAATGAAAAGAAGGAGAGAGAAAACTCAAATTATAAAAATTCACGATGAAAAAGAAACTATCACGACAGACACTATTGAAATACAGAAGACAATTAGAAACTATTTTGAAAAGTTATACTCTAATAAAACAGAAAACCTCAAATACACCAACAAATTTCTAGAGCCATATGATCAACCCAAACTGAGTTGAAGGGAAATATAAAATCAATTTCAAGCAAGGAAATAGAAGACACCATGAAAAGCCTACCAACCAAGAAAAGCCCGAGACCAGATGGATTCACAGCTAAATTCTACAAGACCTACAAAGAAGAATTAATACCAATATCCTCAAATTATTCCTTGAAATAGAAAAGGAGGAAAGCTTCCAAACTCATTCTATGAAGCTAGTATCATCCTGATACCAAAACCAGGCAGAGACACATCAAGGAAAGACAATTTTAGACCATTATCTCTGATAAACATTGATGCAAAAATTCTCAAAAAAATTCTGACAAACTGCATACAAAAACATATTAAAAAATAGTGCACCATGATCAAGTAGGGTTCATTCCAGGGATGCAAGGTTGGTTCAACATAAGGAAATCAATAAATATAATTCATAACATCAGTAGGCTTAAAGAATCATGTGATTATATCAATTGATGCAGACAAAGCATTTGACAAAATACAGCACTCTTTCATATTCAAAACACTAAAAAAACTAGAGATAGTAGGCACATACCTCAACATTGTAAAAGCTATCTATGCTAAACCCAAGGCCAACATCATTCTAAATGGAGTAAAATTGGAAGCATTTCCTCTAAAAACTGGAACAAGACAGGGATATCCTCTTTCACCACTTCTATTCAACAAAGTTCTTGAAACTCTAGTCAGGGCAATTGGACAGATGAAAGAAGTTAAAGGGATACAAATAGGAAAAGAAGAACTCAAAGTATCATTATTTGCTGATGACATGATTTTATACTTAGAGGATCAAAAAAACTTTATCAGAAAAATTTTAGAATTAATAAATGAATTCAGCAAAGTAGCAGGATATAAAATCAATACCCATAAATCAAATGCATTCCTATACATCAGTGATGAATCCTCTAAAAAAGAAATTAGGAAAACTATCCCATTAACAATAGCGTCAAAAAAAAAAAAAACTTGGGAATCAACAAAAGAGGTGAAAGACCTCTACAGTGAAAACTACAAAACACTAAAGAAAGAAATTGAAGAACACCTTAGAAGATGGAAAGATCTCCCATGCTCTTGGATAGGTAAAATTAATATTGTCAAAATGGCCATTCTACCCAAAGCATTATACAGATTTAATGTGATTCCAATTAAATCCCAATGTCATTCCTTACATAAATAGAAAAGGCAATCATGAAATTCATTTGGAAAAATAAGAGACCCAAAATAGCCAAAGCAATCCTTAGCAAGAATCCTTAGTAAAGCAGGAAGCATCACAATACCTGACCTTAAACTATACTACAAAGCTATAGTAACAAAAATGGCATGGTATTGGCACCAAAATAGATATGTAGACCAAGGGTACAGAACAGAAGACATAGAGACAAACCCACATAAATACATTTACTCATACTAGACAAAGGAGCCAAAAATATACATTGGAAAATGAATGCTGAGGATAAGCCTCTTCAACAAATGGTGTGGGGAGAACTGGAAATCCATATGCAGCAAAATGAAATTAAACCTCTATCTCTCTCCATGCACAAAACTCAACTCAAAGTGGATCAAGGACCCAAGAAGAGACTCTGCACCTATTAGGAGGAAAAAACAGGTCCAAATCTTCATCACATCAGATTAGGCTCTGACTTCCTTAATAAGACTCCTAAAGCACAAGAAATAAAATCAAGAATTAATAAATGGGATGGATTCAAACTAAAAAGCTTCTTCTTGGCAAAAGAAACAATCAATGAGGTAAAGAAAGAGCCTACATTTTGGGAGTAAAATTTTTGCCACACACACGTCAGATAGAATACTAATCTCCAGGATATATAAAGAACTCAAAAAACTTAACACACACACAAAAAAAACCTAATCAATAAATGGGCTAAGGAGCGAAGAGACACTTCTCAGAAGAAAATATACAATCGATCAACAAATATATGAGAAAATGTTCAACATCTCCAGTAATTACAGAAATAAAAATGAAAACTACTCTAAGATTTCATCTCATGTCAATCAGAATGGCAGTTATCAAGAATACAAACGACAATAAGTGTTGGCGAGGTTGTGGGGGAAAAGGCACACTCATACATTGCTGGTGGGACTACAAATTGGTGCAACCACTCTGGAAAGCAGTATGGAGATTCCTTAGAAAATTGGGAGTGAAACCATCATTTGACCCAGCTATCCCACTCCACAGTCTATACCCAAAGGACTTAAAATCTGCATACTATAGTAACGCAGCCACATTAATGTTTATAGTAGCTCAATTCATAATAGCTAAACTGTGGAAACAACCTAAATGCCCTTCAATAGATGAATGGATAAAGAAACTGTGATATATATATACACACAGTGGAATACTACTCATCATTAAAAGAGAATAAAATTGTGGTATTTGCATGTAAATGGATGGAGTTGGAGAATATCATGCTAAGCGAAGCTAGCCAATCCCCAAAATTCAAAGGCCAAATGTTCTCCCTGATAAGTGAATGCTGATCCATCATGGGGGTGGGCATGGGGAAAATGGAGTAACCTTGATGGGGCAACGGGGAGGGAGAGGACGGGAGGGCATATGAGGGCAGGAAACATGGTAGAATGTGATGGATATTATTACTCAAGGTACATGTATGACTTCTCATATGGTGCAACACTACATCGTGCACAGAGAAATGAAAATTTGTGCTGCAATTGTGTACAATGAATCAAAATTAATTCTGCTGTCATATATACCTAATTAAAATAAATAAATTTTTAAAAATAATGAAAACAGAGGTTGCCAAGTCCCACCTAGGTGAGGAGCTCTATGACACGTAGAGAGGTGAAAAATAAAAGCCAGAAAACAGGACAGCAGAAGAGATTCAAAGAGGGCCCCTCGCCATGGGCCTTGGAGACTCCTGCTCACCTCCTGCAGCAGTTGGATCTTATTCTCTAAGAGCTCATAAACATGCTCTGTCTCCTGCTGTCGCTCCTCAAACTGGCGCCTGAGCTCAGCTTCATTCTGGCTGTTGAGATTCTCCACGTCAGCCCTAGAAACATGGAGCATTAGCCAGTGAAAGCCAGACCCTTAATTTCACCAGAGAACTCACTGAGGTTGTTCCAGCAATCCAGAGTCACACCGAGGAAAAGAAAAAGAAGCATCTTTTTTTTTTTTTTTTCCTGCAATTATCTATGGAACTGCTCTGTCCAACTTTCTCAGGCAATCTCTCAGGAATTCTAACTTTTTGTTGCTTGACAAGCATGCTATGCCTGGATTCCTAGAGACTTCAAAAAGCTGTAACTTCAGGAGAAGGAAACTTGTTTCAGAAGGCAGCTAGTCAGCACCCATGTCACTACCATCTGTCCCTGAACTTTCCCATTTAGACTGCTTTTTCTAGATGGCTTTGCTAATTTCTTGCCCTTCCAGTTGTTTAAACTTAAAGTGTTCCTTCTGTTCAGAATACTGGGACAGGGTATCAACCTAGACCACCACAGAAATGTCCTCTGCATTTATAGCTGGGAATGCACAGTAGACTGTCCTTAATGTGGGCTACCTATGCAGATTTCTATCCAGTTTTCCATGGTCTCTCACAGAGAGCAGATACTTAATCTATGGGAGCTCAGCATTTTGGCTGAGCTTTGCTTCTCTGATAGCCCAAGGAATTAATATCCAAGCTCTAACATGAAGCGGTTAAGGTATCACCAGTTTATTTATAGCCAACAACAGCTGTCTTTGGATATCTGAGCATTAGAATTTTTCAGGGTGGTACCAGGTGCTGACTGATCTTAATTCCGGTTGGCTTTTATTCCTGTTCTAAGCCATTTATTAAGAACCACGTACCATCTTCTTATTCTGAGATCAGAGAACCATATTGCTCATAAAGTATCACCAAGCACAGTGATACTTCAATGTTTGGCTTAGGAGGTTGTGTCCATGGAGCTTAAATTTGGCTTCCCTGAAGATTACAGGATTCCTTGGCTGACAGTGGTTATTACTCTGCACCATTCCAGAGGGTACACTTACTTTGAGTTGTTTTATCATTATACAGCTTTGGGGGAGTATGAAGGCCTTGACAATACCTGGACAAAAGCCAAGGGAATGACTGAAGACCCCTGAAATAGGCACAACTCGGAAATCAACTTTTACTTTGACTCTACAGTCCTTAATAAAACACAGTAGACAACCACTGAAAATCTCTAAAGAATGAAGGCTACACATTTTCTGAGTAACTCAGCCAGGAATGCCTGATTTAAGAAACTATAGTTTTTGTGAAGCCAGAAGGTCCTTCAACTTGATGCCAGATGTTGGCTCCACCAGTAACTTAAGATGGCTTCAACTCTCTATACCCTGGTTCTCTCAGTTCTAAAAACAGGATTTTGCCACCAAAATGAAATGACTTAAAATTTTTTGAAAGCAAAAGATCTTGGTGGCAACCCTCCATTTTTTTTCCTAGGCATAATCAAGCAAATACATTCATATATCTTTACCCAAAGGGGCTAGCAGTGTACACATCACTTAGTACTTTTCCCCCTTACTTAGTTTATCGAGAACTTTCTACCAGGACAATAATATAGAGCCAACTCATTCTTTTTAATAACTGCATAACAGTCCACAGGATAGTTTTCTTGAATTTTTTTTCAATCATTGCCCTATTGATGGATAGTTGGAGATTTCTGTTTGTTTGTTTTGCTGTTTCAAATAATGATCCACAAACACCCTTATACATTTAACCTTTCACAGGAGTGCCTTTATTTATGAGAAACAGAATAATTCTAGGGATTAATTGAGCAAAGGAAATGTTTCTTTTTGATTTTGATAGATAGCAACACATATCAAAAATGCAGCCACAATTCTCTCATCAAAAGCATATGGGCATGTCCATTTTCCCCAATCATTATGTCAGCCCTTGATGTTATCCGATTGATAGATAATCTGACAAACGTTATTTGCATCTGTCTCTTTCAACTAAAAGTGGAAGTATTCACTATTCCCTGATTTATTCCTTACTGTTTAATAGGAACTTCATAAATTTAAGTCTGGTGGAGGTACCATTCTGCAGCAATGTTTGCTTTACCAAGTAATAGACAGAAAATCCAAGGGAAAGAAAGTACATAAACATCCATGATTTTAGTTCCTGAACTGGACACAACATTCAAATGCCAGGGATAAAGTAAAGGAATTTGGTTCCAAATTGATTGTTCCCAAATTAGGGAACTGGATTCTGGGAAAGGAATAGAGTTCCTCTGTTCACACTGTTCTGCACCTTGTTCAAACTGCACCTCACCATGATTTATCCAGATGCTGTTTCTTGTCCTGAAGTTCTCTTTTCAGGCTCTCCACTTCAACCTTCAGCTCGATGTTCTGAAAAGCAAACAGGCATTTACCATCATTAACTGCCATACTTGGGTCTGGACTTGTTTCATAGCATCTCATCGCATCTGAGCCCTTTCATAACCCTCCACATAAATGGGAATTCAGATGAATCGGTAATTTAGTCAAGAACAATGGACTGTACAGCTTCAAGATTTCCCCTGTACTACTTATTTGTTCTCAGCCTGTTCATCATTGTCCCTGGATGATGAACACTGCCCAAGGCGATTTGCTCTTTAAAACATTAGATATCAAAGTGTATATTAAAACAATTTTTTCTTACTAATGTAAGTTTGCTCCTTAAAACCAAATTGCTGGGGCTGGGATTGTGGCTCAGTGGTAGAGCACTTGCGTAGCATGTGTGAGGCACTGAGTTTAATCCTCAGCAAGACATAAAAAATAAATTAATAATTAATTAAATAAAGGTATTGTGTCCATCTACAACTAAAACAATGCTGTCTGCAGAGTTATGTTTTAGATTTAATTATTTTATTGTGAGAATTTTTTAAAACAATTCTTTCTTTGCCTTTACCATGAATTTGACCTTTCATAAATTAAGATAAAAGGGGACTCTGATGTTAAATCTATGCAAGAAACAGTTTTTTGTGTTTTGTTTTGTTTTGAGGTAAAGCAGCAACAAGTAAGATTCTGGCAAACAGAAAAAGAAAATAAAAACATCCCAAGTGAAGTATGAACAAAGATTTGATGAAATGCACGTGATGCATCCAGTGCAGGTTAAGTGACTTGGTGAGTGGCAAGGAATGGGAAAATCAGTAGAGAAAATAGTTTGAAGCCAGGTGCAGTGATGCACACCTATAATCCCATCAACTCAAGAGTTTGAGGCAGGAGGATTCCAAGTTTGAGGCCAGCCTAGACAACTCAGTGAGACCCTATCTCAAAACAAAATGTTAAAAAGGCTAGGGATATAGCTCAGTGATAGAGTGTCCCTGGGTTTAATCCCCAAACACTACTCCCAAAAGTTTGAAGCTAAGTTTGGAAAAAATCATACCAAAAGAGATCAAGGAGATTTAGGCAAAATATCACCACATTCAAGTCTGTTGAGGAAGAACTTGTGATAGATACGAAGATAGGTGAGTGGCCAGATGGATGGGAACTGTCTGCGGCCATACCAGTACAGAGAAAAAAGACCCAAAAGACATTTAAGAGGCAGATTCCATAGGGCTTGCTGACTTGTGAGATTCAAATTAGATTAGAAGGTGGAGCAAAGATGATGCAGAGATTTCTAGCACATGCCTAGTGACATACTCTTTAACTAAAATAGGGAACAGAAAACAGAGGAGCAAGTGTGGGGGGGAACCTAAGAGGGAGTCTGCAAATGTTGGTTGGAAAATTACTTTATCTCATCTTAAAGATGAGGGTACATAGGTGATTTAATCCCTTCCCTGCTAAAGTCCATGGCACAGTATTAAGCAAAAAGGATGTGACTAAGAGAGAAAGAAGCCTTTACATCATAGGTTGACAAAGTGATATACTGGCTGGAGCACGGAAAGGCACATCATGGATAGTGGAACATATAACAACCACCAATACCTAGGTTTCTTTGAGTCCACGGGAATATGCCAAGCTAGGGTATCACTTACTTTTGGGAGGGATTTCATAACACCTTCTCATGGAGGAAGCAACAATACTAGATGGGAACAATAGACACCTCTTTGATATTAGAAAGTCACTGAGAATTAAAGAATTTTGGAGCTGGACGGCAGTTAGACCCAAGGTGTTTTTGATCATATTGCTAATAACTTTATAGTCTGATCTATTGAAAAGAGTGCTAGCTGATCTCCTAAGAAAACATGTACTTTTGGCTTGGTTTATAGTACAGTGAGATCAGATGAAATTACAGTATCTTAATTGCCTCACGGCTTATAGCATTTAAGAAGAAAGTAATAGCCTGGTCTTTTCAGAATATTCTCTAAAGTTATTTTCTGAACACTAACACTAGGGTTATTGGACTTAGAATTAAAAATATGGGATGTCCACTTCAATTTGAATTTCAGATAAGTAATAAATTTTTATTGTTAAATGTTCTTTGTCATATTTGGGACATACTTAGTTAAAATATTCTTTGTTACTGATCTGAAATTCAAATTTAATTCAGCATCTTGTTCACACCAAAAGATGGATAACTCACAATGCTAACTTCCCCCAAATAAACAACTAGTAGCGAAGAATATCTCAATTTTGTATCAGGAAAAGACCCAAGATTCCTATATCAATTCCATGACTTGGTACTGGAAGAACTATTCATCTATTCTAACTGATAAATCAACGAAGCAAAAGATTTAATAAGTAGCTACTGCATCTTAAACTCTATGCTCAATAGTAAGAGAAATACAAATATCATCATAAGAAATGATCCCTAAGCTAGAGACCCTTCATAGAAGTGACATGAATTCTGTCATATTCCATCATCTGTTACATGGAGATAAGTTCCTTCCTCATTTATAACCTGTCATAGAGGGTTATGAGACATAAATATATTAAGGACATGTAAAAGACTTAGAACAGTGTTTTTGAACATAAATATAAAAATTATTATTATCATCATCCCAACAACAACAATAACAGTATTATCATCCAGGGACAGCAGCAGTTTTGATTTCTGTGAGACCATTGTATTTCAAATGAATTCAGTACTCAAAATGCGATGCTGAGAAAGATGAATCCTATGTTTATTATTTCTGCCACCAACTGATTCATTTGTTAACCCTAGGTAATAATCTGCTGAAGTTTCTTTACATGGAAAATGACACAGAATGAGTAAAAAATTAAAATGTCACATGAAAGAAAATGTAATGTATAATGATGAAGAGTTATTATCAATGGTGTTCCTTATACCTGGCTGATTAAATCATAAAGCCAGATATTTGCTGAGCCATCTCAGATTGCTCAAGCTTCAGCAGATTTTTTAAAAACCTCAATTCTGAAAACACTTGAGGTTTCAAATGACGAGAGCTACATAAATGACTTTTGATGTAATACAGGAAATCTCTATCACATATAAACTGATCCATACTGCAACTTTTTTTCATAAGAAATCCTCAAGCACCTAAATAAAAGCAAACATACAAACAGAGAGTGTGGGAGGCACTGTGAAAAAGTGAAGAGTACTGATTCAGACTAGAAAGAAGTAGGTTCCAATGGTGGCTCTAGCACTTTCCTGCTAGGTGACCTTAGACAGGTTATCTAATAATCCCTCTGAACCTCAGTTTTCTCATAGGTCTTATGGAGCTGCTGTGTGTGTGTGTGTGTGCGCACACTGAGTACCAAATCCAGGGCCTCACATATGCTAGGCAAGAACTCTACCTCTGAGCTACATAACCAGCCCTAGTTCCTTCCTTCAGGTACATGGTTAGAATTAAATGTCAATTAGAGACCTCAGGTCCAATAGGAAAAATATTTAAATCTAAAGGGAAGAAAAATTGAAGGTATAAATTATAAAGGTCCATCCATTCTAAATCCTAGATAAGAAAATAGAGCTAGTTCTTGAATTAATTTGGCCATAGACTCACATATATAAAATACCTTAGCATTTATCTGCTCCAAGTCTCTCATTTTAAACAGAAAAATTGAAATCCAATTGAATCCTGCTGGGAGCCATTAGCCAAGGAGGTATGACAATTTCCTTGCCAGCATACCCCATGTTGCTTAGTGGAAGGACTCGTGGAAATAGGACATTTTGCAGTGACATTGCAGTTAGGTGACCTTGCTCAAGGACCAGGGCGGATCCGGGATTAGGGTGTTCCCGGTTTAAGATAATCGGGTTTAGGGCGTTCCAGGTTTAAGATTATTCCTGCTGGGAATAGGGCGTACCCTGCTGCCTGTGAGTTCGGGAATAAAGAGTTGCTGTTTGAATCTACAAGCTGTGTGGTGGCTCGTGATTGTGTGCCCAGCCAGACAGCGGCATTTGTGCCCAGCCAGACTGCGGCATTTGGTGGCCCGTACGGGGAACTTCTGAAGCTTAGAGGTAAGTGAAATTGCTCGCCCCTGAGGAAGAGCGAAAGAATGGGTGACCAATTCAAAAAACAATATGCTCTTGTTTTGATTTATTTTGTTTTTATTTCAAGTTGCCTGTTCCTAGAACTTTCTCAGGCAAACTGGGGAAAATGGTTGCTCAAGGTTTGAAGTTGTTCGCCTCCGAGCAAGATAAATTGTTAGAGGAAGAAGGCACCCCAGTAAGACCAAGAACAGTTAGGACATATGTTGATACAATACAAAAATGTAGCCCATGGCTTTTTAAAGACGAGTTATTAAGTATATCAATGGGACCATCATGGTATCCTGTAGAAGGATTTTTCTTCAAGAAAGAGATGGCTAGTTTTGTTTACTACACTTGTCTAAGATCTTGGTTTCTACAGACATCTGATTAATTTACAAAGGTAAAGTGTTAAATCAACCACTAAATATGAAATCAAGTACTCTTTACTTATTAAGTTCCATAAGGTAATATATTTAAACATTATGTGTGTTTTCATAAATTGGTAAATGGAAAAATGTTTAATATTGCTTTGTGTCTGTGTCTTTGCTAAAACAAGGTTACTAAGTGTTAAGATTCTATCATGTGTAATTTATATACAAAGAGTAGAAAAATTTTCAGTTGGGTTTCAATTATAGTATTATAGTATCATAAAAAACATGAAAGTCTTTCATTTTATTAAAGTGGAGTAATTTGTCTAAATCAGAAATTTTATAAGAGTTGTTTCAAAATGTGAATTTATAAAAAGGGTTAACAGTTAAAAAAGAGATAGAAAAAGATTCAAGATGTGGAAATATATTTTAATATAAAAGGTTAAAGGAAAAAAAATGTTTCTAGATGAGATAATCTCTGTGTGGTAAAGTAAAAAGTTGTAAAATGCCATTTAAAAAGATTTTGAGGAAACTAGACTTACTTTAAAAGCTTGAGAAAGGAAGAAAGAAGAAAAAGGTATTTGTACATGGCAGATTGAGACAAAGCTTCTCAATGGAGTTTAAAA